GAGCGGTCCGAATCTCATTTTCAAAACTATGAACCCACCATCAAACTCAGTTAACGTCATCCCCGTTTCACTAACCTGAATCGAAGTCATGACTCCGTTAGCAAAGACGGAGAGCTTTCCAGCAACGGATCTCACTCCCTGCTTAAACTGGGCCATGTCGGGGGCCGTGGGCAGCATGCTCGTGAGGTTGTAGTTTCCTGCACACAGAGCAGACACTGGCTCGTCACTACCGCAGGGATGGCACAGCCAGTGCCCAGGGACCCGATGGCTTTGGAGAACTCGGCCCCCCTCCCCTCCAGCTGCCCATAAGCAGCAGCTGTGGTTAAGGGAAAAGGAGCCTGGGGGGGCGTTTCAGCGCCAGCCCTACCACGAAGCAGCTGCAAGACCCCACGGCGAGAGAAGATGCAGCACTAGGTCTTAGGACCAACACGGGTTCAAATACTGGCACTGCCACTTCCAAGCTGTGTGCCTTTGGAAAGGTTCCTTACCCTCTCTGGGCCCGTTTCCTCCAGGCACTTAACACAAGACCTGACAGAGAAGTACTCAGTAAATGGCAGATGGGCGGACATCTGTGGGTTTTTCGGACTCAGCATCCCTTCCCCCTTTTGGTAAAAGCCCTCCTCCCTTCCTCTGCGGGAGGTCTCTCCCCCAACCCCCTAAACCACGCATGGGCACGTGACCCAGACCTAGCCAATCAGAGCCTTCCTGGATTCCCGCATTCTCAAGGGAGGGGAGCCGTTTGCTTGCTCTGGGGTTACTGGTGGGGGCGAGGGGCCGCTGTAGCTGTCTGTGACTAGGGCTGTCCCCCTCCCACTCCCTCCTCAAGGAGGGAAGGAGGAAGCCTCTGGCAGTGAGGGAGGAGGCTCACCCCAGGAGGAAAGGCAGATGGGTGGGTGGGGCTGTCTGCCGACTCAGCAGGGCCAAGCGCAGTGCCAGCGCTCCCAGGTAGCAGCCGACCCCTCGCCCTCACCGAGGCCGCTGTCGGCTGGGTTTCTGTTGCTCAAGTTTTGGTTGTCCCAACACAGACAGCAGCATATTGCACACAGGTGAAGCGCATCAGAGTTGTCACACATAAAGGGGTCCCTAGAGCTGACAGACGGGCTTCTGTGCTGCACTTTTGTCACACAGCTGTGAAAAGGTGCCGGAGGGGCTCAGAGACTTTGTGAGAGAACGCAAACCCTGCAGAGCCTCCAGGGAGCCAGCCCAGCTGCCCCTCGGCTCCGCAGGTCACTCTACACCTGCCTGCCCCTTAGGCAGCAGCAGAAGCCAGGTCCCTTTCCAAGAACCAAATAGGAGGCACGCATTTACCCTCCAGCACGGACGCCACCCAGGAGAGTCAGTGTGTCTTCCCACAGCGCCATCCCATGCCCAGCACTAGGGGAGGGGCCACAGGTGCAGCTGCTTCTCCTCTCTGCCTCTGGGTGACGTTTTAGAGTCTCGTAGCCCTTTGCCAATGACAGAGCGACAGCCTAGCCCAGCCCAGTGACGGGACTCGGGTTCAAAGCCCAGCACAGTGGTGCTACCAGCCGGTAAGATGAATCTGAGAGGAAATGAAGAGCTAGTGTGACATCCTGAGCACAAAGGGCCAGAGTCACAGCTGCTCCATGGCGTGGCGAGGTGGTCCGGAGTGGCAAGGGAGCTGTGCCCCAGAGGTCAGCGGAGGTGACCTCAGCAGAAGCGCCTCCACTAACAAGCTTCCAACTCGAGAAACGTTGAAAAAGGAGAGAGCACAGCTGAGGCAGGAGGTTCAACGTGGAAGCAAAGCGCTGCGGTGGCTGCTCCACTCGGGCGCACAGACGCCCCTTCTTTTCGCTCAGGTTGACAAGACTCCGGTTTGTGTAACTGAACCTGGTTGGCGACAGCACCGCACAGCTGTGACGTATGACAAATATGTTCAGCAAATCACCAAACAAAACCGCCCGACGGCCGACTGAAGTCAGTGCTTTGGAGGCCGACAGGCCCAAAGAGGCCAGGCTCCTGGACCCCGGGCCAGAGCCAGAAGGAAAGGAGAGAATGGCCGAGGTGCCTCCAGGGAGCCTCGAGACCCAGGGACAACAGCAAACGCACGAGGAGCCCCTATGACCCTGGGCAGTGCGCACGGAGCCTGGACAGAGGTGTCCGTCCGCAGCGCCCTGGGCTTCCCGGGTGGCCCTGTTCAGACTCAAATGATCAGAATCAGGTTTTGGAAAGAAATACACCAGAGGGGCAAGCTGGGTTTCCAGCTTCTTTTGTTCTGACACTGCTCTCAACAAAGAACAAAGCCACCTCTGCTCTGTCATCTGGTTCCCTCTGAGCCTGAGTGGCTCCCTCTGAGGCAGTGCCCAGCGATGGCCGTCCCCCGTCCCCCAACTGACCCTGCTCTGGAGTGACGGCAGGGACGGGCACTGTGCCAGCTGTGGATGCTTACATGTGCTCCTCGTCTACTCCCTCCAAGACCATGGAAGGGAATGGCCTCGGAGCAAAGCCAGGGTTAAAGCGCGCCCCCAGGAAGTATTTCACTTCACCAGGGGGCATTTCTAATTTGGAGAAATCTTCCCCTTAACCCTGAAGAAATTATAAAGGTGATCTACCCAGTGGCACTGATATTTCATGGATGGGGAAACATTTAAGATAAGGAACACAGAACACTCTCTTAAAACCAGCTTTTGCTCTTTGCTGAAATGCACTCTAAATAAAAAGTAAATATTTAATGAGCATTGTTCAATGCGCTTGCATTTAGAGCAGTTATTAAAGGCATCTGATGAGAGATGCAGAATGAGGGTAATCGTGGTCTGAACCATCTGGGTTTGGGATGGAGGAGGGAAGGGGAGGGAGGGCAGGTGCTGCAAGCAGGACCACTGGCCGCTGGGGAGGGGCTGAGGGCAGCCTCGCACCCCAGGATGGTCCTATCAGGGCTGCAAGTCCCCAGGACAGGAGCTTGTCTGGGACCCACAGAGAGCCAAAAAAAAAAAAAAAAAAATCAATGGACCTTTGTTCTCTGAAAGGGGACAGGAAGGTAAACGTCATCGCTGGCTGCAACCTTCTCTGAAATTTTTTTTTTTTTTTTTTTTTTGCGGTACGCGGGCCTCTCACTGCTGTGGCCTCTCCCATTGCGGAACACAGGCTCCGGACGCAGGCTCAGCGGCCATGGCTCACGGGTCCAGCCGCTCCGCGGCATGTGGGATCTTCCCAGACAGGGGTGCGAACCCGTGTCCCCTGCATTGGCAGGCGGACTCTCAACCACTGCGCCACCAGGGAAGCCCTGAAAGGTTTTTTTTAACAAACAATAATGTTTCAGAGTGAAACTTCCAGTAACTTGAATTACAAAAACACACACGGCCAGGGGTGAGTTTCAACCTGTTAGGTTCTCTGGACTGCCCTGCCCCTGTGCCAGGGCGCCCATGAGGTAGCCCAGCACTGACCCACGGGGGGCAGAGGCGGGACCCTGGGAGGCCTCCACAGGAGCCGAGCACCCCTCTGCCAGGGGCGGCCGCACAAGGAAGTGCCCTGTCAAGAGGCCAGGACACCGAAAGTTCTCATATGAGAACACAAATCCGTGAGCCACACCTGCCCCAACCCAGGCCCAGTGCAGGAAACGGCCAGTCAGAAAGCAGCTCCTCCTGCTGGAGGCCAGAGGGCGGCCTAGGACGCTCCCTGCCCAGGGGCCGCGCACCGGGCCTGTGTCCCGCAGGTCTCTGGTCCACCCATCTGGCTAGAATCCTCCCTCTCACTGCAGCACGGTAGCCTGGAAGCGCTCGCTTCACCCCGGGGGCCACGGTGGCTCTTGAAACGCCCCCAAACCCCAACACGGAAGGCCCCAGGCATTCGGGTCTCCCCCATGACCTTCTCTGTTGAGGCTGTTTCTCTCTGGACTCAGAACTAACAGTTGTTCTCTGTGGCTGCAAGGCACAGCGGCCGCCCGCGTGGGGTCCCTCCGTGCCCACGTCCAGCTCCTCCAGGGCTGGAGACGAGGGGTGCAGGTGGTCCCGGGCCTTGAAGGCCTTGGAGATCCCCGCCCCCGCTTGGGTGCTCCTGCTGACGAGTGGGCTCCTGAAATGAACTCAGAGGACCCTGCTCCTTGAATGTTGGCCGTGACACAAGGGGGACACGTGGCCCTCCCCTTACCCCTGAGGCCTGACTCGGGGCTGACTGGGACTGGAACACGGCTTTCCTACGGCTCAGGGTCAGAGGGACAAGCAGAGAGGCGCTTGGTTCTGGACGCCCGTGACGGGCCTGTGTGCTGAGGCTTACTCCCTGGGGGCGCCCAGACATCTCCTCGTCGGGGTCTGGACCCTCCTCTCCACCTGCCTGGCTCCAAAGCCCCATTCTGTCTCCCCTGGGAGGCGGAGGCTGGTGGACTCACCTGTTCTATCTGCTCTGACTACCCCTGGGGTCCGGGAGGGGCCTGGGAGGGCCTGCCATGTGCCAGACCCCGAGGTGACACTTTACATAAAGGACCTCATTTCAGCCTCGGTACAAACTGGTGAGGTAGGTATGGATATTACCCACCCATTTTACCGAGGAGGAGACCGAGGCTAAAGGTGACCTGAAATCCCCCAGGTCTCACAGTTAGGGAGTGGGTCCCGTCACACGGGAGCCCAGGGCTGTCCCCTCCAAGGCTGTGACACCACACGAGCCAGACACCAGGTTCACACCATGCTAGGCACCCCACCGCCCGTGACGATGGTTCAGGGAGACGACATGCCGGGTAACTTTGGGGACGTCGCTTAAATTCTATGACTTGGTCTCTTCACATGCAAAGCCTGGAATAATAACTTCTGCTCTGCCTGACTTACAGAGGCCATAGAAGCATCAAATAATGGCCGCTAACAATCCTGGTAAAGTAAAAAGTCCTATCCAGAGAAAACGTATTCATGCCGCAGACATGGTGGAGACCAGCCTCGTTACCCACCCGCCCCTTCCCCGCATTACCTGCCGTCTGCTTCCTCTGCTCATCAAACAGGTCAGCAGAGCTGATGGAGGAACTTGCCGAAAGCCTCTCCAGCCGAGCCCTGGTTTCATACTAGAGAAGACCAGGAGAAAAGAAACATTAGGCTCCAAAAACCATGAGCAATTTTGCAGAAAGAATCATCGAGGAGCTATCACGGCCGGGCTGGGGGCCGGCATGATGCTCACATCCTGCGGGTCACAAGCAAACAGATGAACGCACAACGCCACGGCCAACAACGGTCAGTGGAGGGGAACCCAGAGGGAGAGTGACAGTGACAGCTCTGTCATGTGCTGCTCTCACCCAGCTGCCAGGAAAGGCCGCTCCAAGAAGCTCTCTCCCAACAGCCTTATGTGATTTCCTAACTGAACTTGAATGTTGTCAACTTTAAAACAAGGCAGATTTTAGTGGGTGGAGAATAGCCAAGTGGCAACTCTAAATACACTCAAAATGCTAGTGGAGGGCTTCCCTGGTGGCGCAGTGGTTGGGAGTCCGCCTGCCGATGCAGGGGACACGGGTTCGTGTCCCGGTCCAGGAGGATCCCACGTGCCGCGGAGAGGCTGGGCCCGTGAGCCATGGCCGCTGGGCCTGCGCGTCCGGAGCCTGTGCTCCGCAGCGGGAGAGGCCACGGCAGTGAGAGGCCCGCGTACCCCCAAAAAAAAAAAGCTAGTGGAATTTCTACTGCTACAAAATAAAATTGGTACATTTTAGGAAATAATTATTCTCTGTATCGTGCAAGAAGCCTAGTAATAACACGTATCTCTAAGAGTTTTGCGTAAGCACATTAGTGCTTCACAATTAAAAGGAAACCTTTAAGCTCCCCATTTCCATTTGAGTCTTACTGCCTAGCCAGACTCCACTAAGATAAGCTCATTAACATTTCTGAGAAAAGAGGCAATAACCTCTTTTCTGAAAATAAATATGCCTACCCTCGAGAATCTATCTACATACTTCATTTAACTATGGCTAAAAAACTGCTAAGTAAATTACAGGTGTATCAAAAATCTCCTGAAATTTACTCAAAAGTTATCGAATGGATGGCTATTCAAAACACTGAGAAAGGAATAAGAGAAATAAGAGACACTTTCCCTACCTTCCAATCACTCCTCTAGCTGGAGCGGCAAAGTGGGGCGATTAGTCAGAAAGACCTGGGTTCAAGTCCTGCTCCAGCACTCTGGGGACAGGGGTCCCTTGCAGCCTGACTCCATCTCACTCAGCATCCAGCACCTCCTCCCACACCTCCCGTGGCCCTGCTGGCTTCCTGCTCTGTGGGCACCACACAGAAACTCCCTGGGCACTTACATCAGCTTTGGCTTGCCTTCCAAAGTACATATCTGAGGAAATGGCTTTGACGTTGCCAAACTTCTTCTGGGCCTCATCTGTATTGTCAACTGGCTCATAGTCTGGCTTGCGGCGAGCAGTAGGTCTACAGTTAGCAACAGCCAAAACAAGAATGACATCGGTAAGATGATGGAATAGGAGTTTTCTACCATTATCCCTTAGAGAACGCTGGTTTTGACAATCACCCACAGATGAGAATGCCTTTGTGGGAGTCCAGGAGTCCGGCAGAGAGGGTCCAGCACACTGCTGGAGCAAAAAATCCAAGACTGGATGCATTAAAGAGGGTAAGAGGAATAGTTTCACTGGGCCCATGTCACTCCTCCTCCAAGGCAGCACAGCTCAGTGCCAAGAGAGATCCACGGGGCCTGCAATTTCTCCCATGGGGGAAGGTGAGAGGGCGGTGAGCGGGTGCCTGGTCTCCCCAGCTGTGTGGGACATTGCCAAGGGTGCCTCTTTCTTTCTCATCCCACCCAGGATACTGAGGTGACCGACACAGCGTAGGGGCTGGGGGAGGCTAGAAGCAGAGCAGCCAGGGCTCAGAACTCGTCAAAGCTGTGTGGATTCCACTAACCACTTCCCGAACTCCATGAGGAGGCCTGCTCACAAACCACTGGATACACTTTGCCTGGGGAGCCCCCAACTGGCCCTCCAATGCTCTGCATGCCTCACTCATGCACCTTTGGCCCCACAGCTGGCTCCCTGCACATGCCCCTGCGGATGGTGAGGGCAAGCCTTTGCAGACAGAAAAGTGAGCATCTGCAAAAGTCAGCCCAACTCGGGGGTTCACAGAAAGCACAAAAACTTGAGCATTTCAGGGCACCACCCTAGGGAAAGCAAGCAGGAGGCTCTCAGCACCTGGCCCTGCTTTGTGGGATTGAGAAAAGACATACCATCCTAAGATGTCACCCCCCAAAAGGAATAAGAAGTGTGGAGTGAGTGCATCCATAGAAAAGGTCTGAGTAAGCCTCAGCATCTCTAGCAGGGCTGACTATTGAAGGTATTTCTCACCCAAAGCCAGGCACTAAAGACTGGAGGAGGTGATTGCTCCTTCAAATGCAAAGACAGCAACACAAGACTCCAAGGAACATGAAAAACCAAGGAAACATGATACCACATAGGGAAACAATAATTTTCCAGTAACTGATCCCTAAGAATTGCCTGACAAAGAATTCAGAATAATCGTTTTAAGGAAGCTCATCAACCTACAAGAACACAGACAACTCAATAAAATCAGGGAAATAATACACAGATAAAATGAGAAGTTCAACATAGAGACAGAAATCATAACCGCTTCCCATCGCTCGCATTACCGTCTGAGCTCCGCCTCCTGTCAGATCAGCAGCGGCATTAGATTCGCATAGGAGCGTGAACCCAGTAGGTTCAAACCAGAACTGCACGTGGGAGGGATCTAGGTTGTGCATTCCTTATGAGAATCTAATTCCTGATGATCTGAGGTAGAGCTGAGGCGGTGATGCTAGCGCTGGGGAGCGGCTGCAAATACACATTATCATTAGCAGGGAGGTCTGACTGCACAGAAACCATAGTAAGTCAATTGCTTGCAGACTCATATCAAAACCCTATCAGTGGGGACTTCCCTGGTGGCAACAGTGGTTGAGGGTCCGCCTGCCAGTGCAGGGGACACTGGTTTGAGCCCTCGTCCGGGAGGATCCCGTGTGCCGTGCAGCATCTGGGACCGTGCGCCACAACTGCTGAGCCTGCACTCTGGAGCCCACGGGTCACAGCTACTGAGGCCCACGTACCTGGAGCCCATACTCTGCAACAAGAGAGGCCACTGCGCTGAGAGGCCAGTGCACTGCAGCGAAGAGTGGCCCTGCTCTCGCCGCAATTAGAAGAGGGCTGGCGCGTGGCAGTGAAGACCAAACGCAGCCAAAAATAAAAAATAAATAAGTAAATAGGTAAAATAAATAAATTTGAAAAACAACACAAAACAAAACCTATCAGTGAGTGGCAAGTGAAAACAAGCTCAGGGCTCCCATTGATTCTGCATTACGGTGAGTTGTATTATTATTTCATTATATATTATAATGAAATAATAATAGGAATAAAGCACACAATAAATGTAATATGCTTGAATCATCCTAAAACAACCCCCCCACCCCCCCCACTCCCGGTCCGTGGAAAAATTGTCTTCCACGAAACCGGTCCCTGGTGCCAAAAAGGTTGCAGACCACTGAAGCAGAAGAAAGAATCTGTGAACTCGAAGACAGCTCATTTGAAATTATCCAGTCAGAAGAGAAAAAAGAAAAAGAGCAAAGAAGCCTATGTGAATTATGGGACACCATCAAGAGCACAATTCATGCCCTGTGGGAGTCCCAGGAGGAGGAGAGAGGAAGAAAGGGGCAGAAAAGCTTTATTTAAAGAAATAATCTCTAAAAACTTCCCCAATCTGGAGAGAGATACGGACATCCAGGTACATGGAGCTCATAGGTCCCCAAACAGATTCAACCTAAAGAAATCTTCACCAAGAAATACATAATAAAACTGTCAAAAATCAAAGACAAAGAGAGAATTTGGATAGCAGCAAGAGAAAGAAACTCATTCTATACAATGGAAGCCCTGTAAGGCTATAAGCAGATTTCTCTGCAGAAATCCTGAAGGCCAGAATATAGTGGGATGATATATTCAAAGTGCTGGAAAAACAAAAACAAGAACAACTGCCAGCCACCAGACTTGTCCTACAAGAAATGCTAGAAGGAGTTCTTCAAGCTAAAATGAAAGGATGCTCATTAGTAACATGAAAACATATGAAAGTATAAAACTCACCGGTGAAGGTGAGCATATAGCCAAATTCAGAACACTCTAATACCGTAATAGTGGTGTATAAATCACTTAACTCTAGTATAAAGGTTAAAAGACAAAAGTGGTAAAAATAACGATAGCTACAGTAATTTATTAGTGGATACACAATATAAAAAGATGTAAATTATGACGTGAGAAACATAAAATGTAG